AGATTATCTAGTGAGTAGACACATGGATCGGGTACAGACAATCTAGTGACTAGACACGTTGATCGGGTATGGAGAATCTAGTGAGTAGACACGTGGATCGGGTACACATAATCTAGTGACTAGACACGTGGGTCGGGTATGGAGAATCTAGTGAGTAGACACGTGGATCGGGTACAGATAATCTTGGACGAGGTGTGGAAGGAGTGGACGAGACTAAAAACAAGCATGCAACAAGTAGATGCACTCAGATGCTCTAAGTTCATGTGCTGCTACTTGACGTATCCGGACCCACGGGTCAAGTACCGCCGACACGTACTTGTAACTGCATCAAGACCATCACACATAACTTGTCTCTGAAGTCTTTTACAGACTGTTCCCCGGAAGTAGCAACGGCCTTGGTGACTGAACTCCTTACACCGGTTATACCGTGACCCTGTCACAGAGTCGGAGACTGGCTCTACTGCCAGGCGTCATTCAGTAACACTGCCGCCGCCGACATAGGAGGCGTATCGAAAATGTCGCCTTGCAATGCCTCGGGTACACCCTTTAGATTATAGTTGACAGCACTGCGATCGGAAGCAAGTAGAAGACACAGTCTCTACGCGAGAAGAAGATACACACCCACTCTGTCAATCCCCGAATATCCAGCGTAATACTCTCACCGACAAACGAAACGCGATTTCGATATATGTTGGTTAATATATGAAGAATTACTCAAATTCAAGAGATATCAGATTGGTTTGATACACATACCATACTGTTATGTTATGTGAAGCGACGCTCATGAACGCATCTCATGTGACGTCATAGATCAACGACTCGAGATGCACCATTTGTCTCGTGCAGGATTAGTTTGGAAATCACGTTCAGCATATCGTGGTAAGAATAAAGACAGTCTGTGGTAACTTGACTGATTGTCACTTTTGTCATTAATTGGTACACATTGGAAACATCTCGCTTTACGTACATACTTCTCTATATGTTTCTATGGTTCGCGTTTCTTTTGGAGGTGAGTATATATCTCCATTCTGATGTGAAAGAAACCGTGGACCCATTCGCCACCATAACGTCGGTTGGAAGTGACGTCAACAACTCCTCCTATAGTTAGCGCAGAAATTCTCTCGAAAGCTTGAAACCGCTAACCATGAATCCAAATGCCTCTTCTGAACGGGAGGTCGGAGAACATTAGTGAGTGAGTGAGTTTGATTTTACGCCGCTTTTAGCAATATTCCAGCCATATTCACACATTGTACCCATGTCGGGAATTGAACCCGGGTCTTCGGCGTGACGAGTGAACGCTTTAACCGCTAGGCTACTCGGTCGCCCCTGGAGTAGATTAGACTAACATAAAGTCTATAAAATCTTTTATCATACAATACATTTCTCTCCTCTAGGGGGCAAGGGTGGCCCCGCCGCGATTCGCTGTGCAGAGTTGCGTCCCTTGGACACGCCAGAAACTTATGATTGTGGGTTCGAATCCTGGTTCGCCCCGATTAAGTTTCTAGGTTTGTCAGCACCCTACCCGTGCTCGTGGGTGTCACCGAAGTGGTAACCGTCTGAGACCTGCATCACTTCGGGCTTTCCTCCCAAATTAAGCTGTCACGCCGTGATATAACTGGAATATTGTTAAAACCGGCGTTAAACACAACTCACTCACTCTCTCCTCTAAAATTAAAACAATTCATTTTCCTGATTCTGATTTCATGGAAATTCTATGTGTAATAGAGATGGCTAGACTTGCTTTTATTTATATCCAGATTGGTTTTGGCTTCATAAAATACAGTAAACTACGCTTATAACGAACCAAAAGGGATCACTAATTCTTATTCGTTATAACCGTAGTTCGTTATAAGCATATGTACAGCATATATACAGCAAATGGCCGAGACCAAAAAAATAAATTCGTTAATCCGTCAGTTCGTTTTAAAGCGTGTTCGTTATAAGCGTAGTTTACTGTAAGTATATTCTACAGTCATTGTGCATTCAAAGTCACGGCCTCGTCCGTGCGAAACCTCGATGAATTTAATCGAAAAGGGAAGATTGTTATCAATGAAATCTGAGAAGCAAAAAATTCTTTTCCCGAGTACTGGGAGGGAAGTTCTTTTGCTGCAAGACGCTTGTATTTGAGACGGCATGAGAAGGTAGAGTCGGCTACTAAAGATATTTGCTACTTGTTTCAATCATGGAACAGTGTAATTTGATTGGCTATTTATATCGACATGTCATTCGAACTTAACTCAAAACAAAGGTACGGTCTATTTATATGTCAGGGTATTTATACGAACAGAAACAAGATTTAAAACCCCGGATAACCGAAGATGATCTATCCGATACTATAATTATATATTACAGGTAGGAATGCGCGCCACATAGCTTATAAGACCAAAAGGTTTTTTGAGTACACTAGATCTATTCATAGTCTACTCCGATTGGGAGATCACATCTCAGTTTTATTCAGTGTTTGTTCTATTATATACATACCTGTTTGTTTAGCAAGACCTCGCTGCACAGTCGCTATTGCCGAACGTGAGTCACAGCAAACCCCTTCATATCTCCGCAGTAATAGTACGACACGGAAGCACGGAATGCATTGATATTTTGTCTGCATAGGATCACCCTGCTTCGACAGCTGTACAAACGTATACCAAAATCGTGTTTCCAAAAAAGACTGGCAATAGAATCTATCATTTTATTTACACTTAAATTCAAAACAATTTACACGCAAAGTGGATATTCGTGTTGCAGCGCGAGACAGACACTGATATATCACGTGTGTGTGTGTAGGGGGGGAGGAGGGGGACATGTTGCCGATGCGAGAGACAGCACGAGACAGACAGTGTCATGCATCAGTACTTGTAGGTGTAGAGGACATGGTACAGATGCGAGAGACAGCACGAGACAGACAGTGTCATGCATCAGTACTTGTAGGTGTAGAGGACATGTTACATATGAGAGTGACAGCGCGAGACAGACAGTGTCATGCATCAGTACTTGTAGGTCTAGAGGACATGGTACAGATGTGAGTGACAGCGCGAGACAGACAGTGTCATGCATCAGTACTTGTAGGTCTAGAGTACATGTTACTGATATGAGTGACAGCGTGAGACAGAGAGTGTCATGCATCAGTACTTGTAGGCCTAGAGTACCTGTTACAGATATGAGTGACAGCGCGAGACAGAGAGTGTCATGCATCAGTACTTGTAGGCCTAGAGTACCTGTTACAGATGTGAGTGACAGCGTGAGACAGAGAGCGTCATGCATCGGTACTTGTAGGCCTAGAGTACCTGTTACAGATATGAGTGACAGCGCGAGACAGAGAGTGTCATGCATCAGTACTTGTAGGCCTAGAGTACCTGTTACAGATGTGAGTGACAGCGTGAGACAGAGAGTGTCATGCATCAGTACTTGTAGGCCTAGAGTACCTGTTACAGATATGAGTGACAGCGCGAGACAGAGAGTGTCATGCATCAGTACTTGTAGGCCTAGAGTACCTGTTAAAGATGTGAGTGACAGCGTGAGACAGAGAGTGTCATGCATCGGTACTTGAAGGTGTAGAGGACCTGTTACAGATGTGAGTGACAGTGCGAGACAGACAGTGTGATGCATCAGTACCTGTAGGTGTAGAGGACATGTTGCGATTAAGAGTGACAGCGCACGCACTCACGCACGCACGCACGCACGCACACATATGACTATACCTGTGAATGTCAGTTATATGTACGTAATGCAACTTCTGTCCTATGGAGGATGGCGAGGGGTAGGAGAGGTGTAGGAAATGTACAAGAGCAATCATCAAACCTAGGGAGTGGGTGAGGTTTGGTGTAACGCCGCTTGGAATAGTATTTGAATAGTTAAATCACGGCATGCTAGCTTAGTGTGGCGGGAAAGCCCGGAGCAATGCAGGTCTCAGACGTTTACCACTTTGGTGAAACCTACGAGCACGGGTATGATACTTACAAACCTTGATATATAAGCAATGCAAGGGATTCGGAACCACCAATCATGGGATTGTGGCAGGCCCAAAGGATGAAACTAAGACTAACATCTAGTCTCTGAAATGAACACATCGTACAGAAAAAAAACAGTTGTTGAATTATCTTAATAAAAGTATAATAAAATGGAGTCCCGAGACTCACTTTATTTGCAGTAATCTAGACTTGCCAAACATTATAGAGTTGCATGGGCTGTATTTGATATATTTGTGTCTGAGGGTCTGTAAGACAGACCAGATGAAACTCTGCACAGCCAATTGCGGCGCCTTAGACGTTTAGGCTCTAACAAAGAGCGGATGATGACTCTTGCTACTATAATGATGGCCACATACCCCGAAATCTTCCCGAGGCAAGGGAGTTAATTGACAACAAAAGTCCAGTTTCCCATCCTTGCCGAACTACGCTGGAATTTCGTGGCTCGATCGTAGCGCCACCTGTAGCTATTTTGAGTTATGTCCCTTTTATGTGCCTCTTATTGACCAATCAGATTCCACCTCTCATATCACTTGCATTTGCTTGAAACAAAAAGGCCGCCCCCAGTCAAGACGATCCGATCGATAATCAACATCTATATTGTAATAAAACGGGTCTTACCTCGCGAAGTTGATAAAATAATTTGAGCACCTTGATAAAAAAACATGACAAGATTTGGTAAATATCTATTGACAGAACACATACTTTGCAAATCCTGGAGTCGACTGAAATTTGCACTTTGAAATCCATTTTGTTTACGAACCGGATGTCTAGTTCGTTGCGCGATTTTATTGGACTACGCATAGATTCGTTATTCCAGCCAAAATGTAACTCCGGAATTCCAGCCTAGTTCGGCAAAGGTGGAAACTGGACTTTTATAGTCAGTTAACTCCCTTGCTTCGGGAAGATGATCCCCGAGTGATGATCGGGTTCACGAGGTCAGAGAGAGTACTCACTGATACATGCATTTTTAAAAAAATATTCTGTTCGATACAAATGATGGAAACTTCAATGATCTCCTTGTGTTTATTTCAGCCATTGGCGGAGTGACGAGGTGACAGCAGACGACACCAATGAGACAAGCGGTGTGAGGACCTAACCTCGAAATGACGTCAACCGGAAGTGTTCGGTCCATCACTATGCTCGTGTTGGTTGTGCTGTGCTGGGTGTCACACGTCACGGTAAGGCCTGGAACAGCAGACTAGGACCACTCCAGACGGATATAAGCTGAATATGCATAGGTCCGTTATAATGACCCACAGCCTACGATACGTCGGGGACGTTGCCACATTGGCGATCGTGTTTCACGTCAGTTAAAATGTACAAAGACCACGTAGCTCTGATTATTACGCAGACATTTTGATAGAAACAAACAACTCCGTTTACAATTGAAAGGAGCCCCAGTGAGATGGGAGGAAATCTAGACTTGCTTCATTTAGGGAAATAGCATAACAGTAGGGGCTAGACAGAAGGGAACATAATATGGTTCAGGGACTGTGAGACGATTTAGTACGTGAGCTCTAGCAAACTAGTGATTGTCTTGTACCTCCAAGGAAGAGAATAGAGAGTTTTTTCCAAACACCCAGCAGGCGGTTTGTTTGTTTCATGTCAAGGTTCTCCGGGAACCTACCTCACATCATTGAAACTGCAAATATAAAGTGCATTGTCAGGCCAAGTCTGGCCAAACACGTAATGTCATCCACCTACTTATGTTATCTGATAAAGGAAAAATATTGTACGTCAAGTACGGGGGTACCAGCGCGAGGACAATCGTAGGTGTCACTGACTTTGAATTGTCACACCACGGCTGCGTGGGGAACCCGTCTGTGTGCAGATGTGTCACACTCCGCGGCCGTGCACAGTGAACGCGCACGTGACAGGGTATCTATCTCACCTGTATACAAATCTGTCATTCATGGGGCCGCTGTGTCCGCCACGTGGGACCTGCTTATTTATTTGTTTGTTTGTTGTTTAACGCCGCACACAGGAATATTCCAGCTATATGACGGCGGTCTGAAAAAAATCGAGTCTGGACCAGACAATCAAGTGATTGATGTCACGTGCAACGATCCACGCAATTGGGATACGATGAAATGCATCAACCAAGTCAGCGAGCTTGACCATCCGATCCCTTTAGTCGCCTCTTACGACAAGCATAGTCGCCTCTTACGACAAGCATAGTCGCCTCTTACGACAAGCATACACGCCTTTTACGGCAAGCATGCGTTGCTGAAAGCCTATTCTACCCTTGATCTTCACGGGTACTTGATATATCACCATGTAACAACACGGTGACGCACCGATGAATGGGAGATGGCGTATCGGCTCTCCTTGTCTGACAACTAGCTACAGGAAATTACTTAGTGATATCAAAGTGTTTAGTGAAGTGGTATCACACTCACAAAGCAAGAGATACCATGATATAACGTGACCGGATATATAGATGACCATATCTAAAATCAAATTGTTTCCGGATCCGATGACCAGATGAAACAAGCAAACATCCTGTGACTGGGGAATATAAACTGCTGATGCACTGTCATCCTTGATTTAGCAAATATTATTATGAACGATGTTGGATTATTGTTTTGTTTTTTATCAGAAATAGGGATACCTGTCATTCTTCAAAACATTGCTCTGTTCACTAAGCAGTAAATGGGTACCCGGTAGGATGTCAAGGTAATGTGAATGTTAACCTTCCAGCGCCTCATGGGCAGCTTTTTTTTAATACTCCCTAGGGAGTTGAGAATGAAAACAAGTTGACCGGGGTAATAATGTAGCGTCTTTAGGGTGTCGATTCGTTGTATTATAAAGATGCACATTATTACTATTATTATCTTTAAGTATCTATATTCCCCAGCACCCGTTTAACATTTCTAAGCACCCCTTTAACATTTCTCAGGACCCCTTGCTTAAACCGCATTGACTATTTCTATCCCTTAATATCAATCCTACCCGTGAAACGTCCCTCCCATCCCAAGATAATCCACCCTTCCCACCACCACCCACTGCTAACGGAACCGGGTGGTCAGGCTCCCAATTGCATGGGTCGATGCTCATGATATCAGTCACTGGATTGTCTGGTCCAGACTCGATTATTTACTGACCGCCGTCATATAGCTGGAATATTGCTGAGTGCGGCGTTAAACAACAAACAAACAAACCACCCCACGCCAAGATCTCGGTTCACCAAAACTTAGCACGGTACAGTTTAAGTCAGAGAGGTTGCTGGGCCATCACGTAAACGACTGAATGATTTACGGTTTATTGCGACGACGTCTGAATGCATAGGGCTCCGGTTTGTCATAATATCTGCCAGGGATTGCTGCAAAGTAGCAGGGAGGGACGGCTCTAATAGCCACTGATGTATTCGTACGTCCCACATCGCCCTGTGCGTTACCCGCGACACAAAGGGCGAGGAAGTATCTATATTATCCTCCCCAGCTCTGACCCGTAGATAAAAGAACCAGTCGCGGTAATGTGGGTGATCTCTGACAAACCAGTTAAGAGAAGCACCATGAATCACCGATGATTACGTTGCTACGGTCTCGCGAACTCAAGCAACATGTTTAATCACTATAGTCTCACGCACCAATAACGCTGAAAGCTCTCTTTCCTCAAATTGTAAAAGGTATCTCTTAGTGGAGAATACGTCCACGCTGGGGAGGTCGTATCTGAGTACATTCTCTCCTGGGCTACCTGGCAGTATTAAACAAGAAGTTAATAGACAAACCTGAGTATATACCCCTGGTCGCATCTGCAATAAGAATACGTCTTTGGAAGTATCTGAAACTTGTTCAACGACTCTCGTTTCGTCCCCGCGCTCAGATTCTGCTATTATGTCGTAATTTACATAACGGTGCACATTAAATGACTAGAAATATAAACACAGTACACCAAGGTTATTGTCTACACTCGTTGTAAATACCGAGTGATGTTTGTTTGTTTGTTGTTTAAAGCCGCACTCAGCAACATCCAGCTACATGACGGCAGTCTGTAAATAATTGAGTCCTGACCAAACAATCCAGTGATTGATATCATGAGCATCGATCTACGCAAATGGGATACGATGACATGCATCAACCAAGTCAGCAAGCCTGACCACCCAATCCCTTTAGTCGCCTCTTACGACAAGCATGGGTAGCTGAAGACCTATTTTCTACCCGGATCTGGACCGCCTCCGTGGTCTAATGGTAGAGCGTCCGATCCCCGACCGCGTCATACCAAAAGACGTTTAAAGATGGTACTTGTTGTTACCCTGTCTGGCGCTCGGCATTAAGGGGCTAAAACAAGGACTGGTCAGCTCGGAATCAGTATACTGTGTCTGAGTGGGGTATTCATGTTAAACTGCGGCATGGTTTCTCAGTGAAGCACCATCTCACTGGGGCTCCTTTTCAGTTTATATGTAGTTGCTTGTTTCTATCATACTTATATATTTGACATTAGGCGTTAGTCTACAGTAGAGATCTACTGTAGGATTGCGTTCCACGGGATTGTGGTGATATCACGTCACATGACCATCCTACGGATATAAATCACAATGTCACGTCCTAAATCTCTTTTATACAACAGTTCTTAATGAGGGGAAAACATCACATTAATGGGAATTTGCATGTTAGAGACCTCGGGCAGAATGTCGCCAGCTACTTGAAGTGACAGATAAAACAGCCTCGGACCGCAACATGATAGTGTTACCAATTAGGTATTGTATCCCATAGTAGATGCTGCTTACAGCGCCTTGTGTCAAGTAGTGAAAGAACATTTAACCCATAGCACCATAAACAGCTACATCATCGCCTCCTCTTCATCACCATCCAGACGCCTTTGTGTCTATACCACCTACGTGACACCTGCTTGTAATTGGTCAAGGAATGAAAAAACACTACTTGGTTACTGGGTTAACGAGGCTAATTCCGCTCACTGCATGGTAGATGGTAATTTGAGAGATTGTGTATGGTTGATTTTGGTCAGTGAAAGACTGAGAAAGACTTATCTATTTACCAGGTTAAACCACCGCTGGTTTAGTCTCTCAGACTATGTTGCCCTTTAGTGAGTGAGTGAGTGTGTATGGTTTTACGCCGCTTTTAGCAATATTCCAGCAATATCACGGCGGGGGACACCAGAAATGGGCTTCACACATTGTACCCATGTCGGGAATCGAACCCGGGTCTTCGGCGTGACGCGAGAACGCTTCCACCACTAGGCTACCCGACCGCCCCTGTTGCCCTTTAAGTACCACCATCACAACATCATTTCTATTACGACTGTACAACAGTACTCGTGAATGTTTTTTTGTTTGTTGTTTAACGCCACAGTCAGCAATATTCCACATACATGACGGCGGTCTGTAAATAATCGAGTTTTTGACCAGACAATCCAGTGATTGATATCATGAGCATCGATCTTCGTAATTGGGATACGGTGAGATGCATCAACCAAGTCAGCGAGCCTGACAACACGATTCTGTTAATCGCCTCTTATGAAAAACATGGGTTGCTGAAGACCAATTCTAACCCAGATCTTAATGGGGCACAAGCATGGGTTGCTGAAGACCAATTCTAACTCAGATCTTCATGGGGCACAAGCATGGGTTGCTGAAGACCAATTCTAACTCAGATCTTAATGGGGCACAAGCATGGGTTGCTGAAGACCAATTCTAACCCAGATCTTCATGGGGCACAAGCATGGGTTGCCGAAGACCAATTCTAACCCAGATCTTCATGGGGCACAAGCATGGGTTGCTGAAGACCAATTCTAACCCAGATCTTCATGGGGCACAAGCATGGGTTGCTGAAGACCAATTCTAACCCGGATCTTCATGGGGCACAAGCCTGGGTTGCTGAAGACCAATTCTGACCCAGATCTTCATGGGGCACAAGCATGGGTTGCTGAAGACCAATTCTAACCCAGATCTTCATGGGGCACAAGCATGGGTTGCTGAAGACCAATTCTAACCCGGATCTTCATGGGGCACAAGCATGGGTTGCTGAAGACCAATTCTAACCCGGATCTTCATGGGGCACAAGCATGGGTTGCTGAAGACCGATTCTAACCCAGATCTTCATGGGGCACAAGCATGGGTTGCTGAAGACCAATTCTAACCCGGATCTTCATGGGGCACAAGCATTGGTTGCTGAAGACCAATTCTAACCCAGATCTTCATGGATATGTCTTATATGAGGTCCACAATGAAAGAGACTATTAATATCACAATCTCGTCTCACAATGGACCGAGTGTCACTGGTCATTCTAAACACAGTGTTATCTCACAGCAGGAAACGATGAGTTAAGTAGTGTGTCTTATTAAAACCAAGTGACACACGTATACACCCGACGTCCCTGGGGTGCGTGAAACAGACTCTGTTGGTATATAAAGCAGGCGATTGTCACTAAGCTCGATTTATCCCTGCTTGTGCACGAATGTGTTAATTTACTGTCGCGGTAATCTGTGAATTTGCTTTCATGAACATGCTTATCGTACGTGCGTCACTTTTGACAGTATGGGGGAAAATAGCTTGGGAAGACCTTTAACCTTTCAATATTGCATCAAAATGACACTTATGGAACGATTGTATGTAAGCATACTCCGAAGCATTTACTTTATGCCATCGTTATAAGGACTAGTGGACTAAACTTGTCAGTTTCTATCGCTGACCCGTATTTAAATAATGATGATTCCCTGAATACTATCCGACCTAATCAACGTCGGACAAATACATTTTATGAACAGGGAGTCGAGTTTGGTATTTCCTGGATATTCTCACAATTGTCAAGTCGAATGCCTGTACCTCTCCAAGTACCGATTGTCATGTCTCTTCCACTTTTGGATGCCATCGTTCGAGCATTGCGTTTATCTACGTCGCCCAGTTACATCTGTGGGAGACCCGTGAAGACCCGGGGTGGAATAGGACTTCAACATCCCATGCCTGCCATAAAAGGTGACTATGCTTGTCGTAAGAGGCGACTAACCGGATCGGGTGCACAGGCTCGCTGACTTGGTTGATGCATGTCATTGATCCAAATTGTGTGGATCGATGCTCATGATATCAATCACTGGTTTGTCAGGTCCAGACTCGATTATTTACATACCGCCGTCATATAGCTGGAATATTGCTGAGTGCGACGTTAAACAAACAACAAACCAACCAACCAACGTATGGGTTGTCGCCTTTCTCCGTGGGCAATGTTGAATAGCATGGGTTAAGCCTTCACGTGTTAAAAAACGCTTTGCTTCTTGAAAACTACACTTGCCAATTTATCTGAGCGTGTTATATGGATTAGTTGAAATTCAACGACTTGAATCACTGTAACAACTGGGAAGACATATCGAATGCTACCTTGAGTTTGTTCGGTGCTGTGGCTAGAAGTTGACATATTCTATCAACGGCCAAGGCGTGTCAAACGCCATTGAAAGAAAGAAATCACTGAAAAACGCATGCACCTGAAGAAATAAGCACGCAAGTCAGTTTCACAGAGTATTACAACACAAAGCACAACACTTCCACCCACAGTGAGGCCGATCCCGTGGAAGATAGTTCAGTGCCATCTTGTACATTGTTATTGGTTTGTTGTTTAACGCCGCATTCAGCAATAATCCAGCTAATTGACGGCGGTCTGTAAATAATCGACCAGACAGTCCAGAGATTGGCATCATTAGCATTGATCCACGCAATTGGGATCGCCAGAAACCTGTGATCAGTTCGTCCCGTTTATGTTTCTAGGTTTGTCAACACCAAACTGGTAAACGTCTGAGACCTGCATCACTTTCCTCCCACATTAAGCTGGCACACCGTGATACAACTGTAATACTGTTCAAAGCGGCGTTAAACTCACTCACTCACTTTCCAAGATCACATTGCCACAATAGGATCTGTTTTAAGAATAAATTGACAAAGACACAATCCAGGACAAAACAGCCCATTGAGTACAAACTGTGTTGCATTCTACGGTAAAACACCAACAGTAACATCTCATGATACATTCGCTCTAAAGGTTTCGGGGGCACGGGTGGCCCAGTCGTCTAAGGCGCCGCAATTTGCTGTGCAGAGTTGCGTCCCTTGGGCACGCCAGAAACCTATGATTGCATTCGTGACCAACTCGTGTTATTCCGGGACAAGCCGAATTCTTGCAGATTACGGAAAGAGGCGAGTGGAGACGAATGCTATGATTATGGGTTCGAATCCCGGTTCGTCCCGATTATGTTTCTAGGTTTGTCAGCACGCGACCCGTGCTCGTGGGTTTCACCGAAGTGGTTAACGTCAGACCTGCATCATTCTGGCTTTCCTCCCACATTAAGCTGACACGCCGTGATATAACTGGAATAATGTTAACAGCGGCGTTAAACACATGTACAACTCACTCACTCACTCACTCACTCACTCACTCTAAGGGTTTCACCTGTATCACATATACTTGATCACGTGAAGCCTACCATGACCACACGCGACGCTGTCAATGTATCCCACAAACCATTGCTATTTCCGGTTCATCTGGTATTGGGGGGCACGGGTGGCCCAGTCGCCTAAGGCGCCGCGATTCGCTGTGCAGAGTTGAGTCCCTTCGGACACGCCAGAAACCTGTGATTGTGGGTTCGAATCCCGGTTCGCCCCGATTATGTTTCAAGGTTTGTCAGCACCATACCCGTGCTCGTGGGTTTCACCGAAGTGGTAAACGTCTGAGACCTGCATCACTGCTGGCTTTCCTCCCACATGAAGCTGACACGCCGCGATATAACTGGAATACTGTTAAAAGCGGTATTGCATAAGATAGAGAAATATCAATGGCATGAAAACTGCTGGAAAAGAATTCTTTTGAGTTTATCAAAAAATGTATTCGTGTGTTTTATGCTTGCAGGGTGACGGCATGTGGGACCAGTGGAGTGACTTCTCCCCCTGCTCCAGGACTTGTGGGGGAGGCGTGCAGGCGCGCACCCGGGGCTGCATACACAAGGGGTACGGGCATGTTGCAAATATTAGGACATTACGGCTTCTTTGTACATATTGTTTTTTTCCTTTTGATGCATTCCATCTATACTCAGTTCCTGACAAGTGACCGCTTTTCAACCCAAGGGGGTCGAAGGGTTAGACTTGCGGTTGAAGCGTTCGCTCGTCACGACGCAGACCCGGGTTCGATTCGATTAGATTCGAATGTGTGAGACCCGTGAAGATACGGGATAGAATAGGTCTTCAGCAACCCATGCTTACTGTAAAAGGCGACTGTGCTTGTCGTAAGAGGCGACTAACGGGTGGTCAGACTCGCTGACTTGGTTGATGCATGTTATCGTATCCCAATGTCGTGGATCGATGCTCATGATATCAATCACTGGATTGTCTGGTCCAGACTCGATTATTTACAGACCTACGTCATATACCTCGAATATTGCTGAGTGCGGCGTTAAACAACAAACAAACAACAACGAATGTGTGAAGTCCATTTCTGATCATATTGCTGGTATATTGCTAAAAGCTGCGTATAGCCATTGACCATACTCACTTACTCACTCACTCAACCCAAAGTAACCCGGCACTTTGAACTAAACATCCCATTAAAAAGGAGCCTCCATTCTATACAACCTTACTATGAAATATTAACACATATGATGTACTCTTACTATATTGGTTACCAAAACAACTTGTGATGGGCATATATGTCTAAGAGATTTTACGACAGCTTCAGAAGTTTAGGCTGTATTGCTGTAGAGTGAGTGAGTGAGTTTGGTTTTACGCCGCTTTTAGCAATATTCCAGCAATATCACGGCGGGGGACACCAGAAATGGGCTTCACACATTTATTGATGTAGAAGCACACAGGTACTGGAAGCCTTTGAGGGTCATTTGTTTATTATTTATTTCTTGAAATTTCAAGATACTAACATGAGCAAGCTTGGAATGAGTAACTATCTTGAAATTTCAACTTATTATCTTGAAATTTCAACTTAAGTGTCTTGAAATTTCAACAAAGCATCTAGAAATTTCAACTTAGTATCTTAAAATTTCCAGATACTAAGTTGAAATATTAAGATTTTAACTTGAAATTTCAACTTATTATCTTGAAATTTCAACTTAAGTGTCTTGAAATTTCAACAAAGCATCTTGAAATTTCAACTTGGTATCTTAAAATTTCCAGATACTAAGTTGAAAACTTCAAGTTGAAATTTTAAGATTTTAACTTGAAATTTCAACTTAGTTTCTTTAAATTTCTTTGTTCCTGTTATCAAGGAAAGTCCACTCTACAGAGCCATAACATTTGTCATTACTATAACAACATGAACAGGAAACTTGTAATTTCAATTTGGAAATTTGTACTGACACTGGCTGATGATTTGGAGCTCTGCCTCTGAGCAGGTCTAAATAAATCCCTGTATATTTTTCCCCCCTAAATATTTTCTAATCAAAATTACATGATTCACGAGTAGTGTCCATTAAAAAAATTAACCAGGTATGGAGAAGGGGTGAAAATTTGACTAGTCAGACAGGCCATCTACTTTATGTTTCAGCAAAGCACTTTGTAATTTTAACTAGCCACGGGCCAACGGGCCAGCAGTTAAATCGACACCTGGAAGTTTCGGTATAGATCCTTGTACCGTTGTCAGCAAGTGACGTAAGGGCAGAGTAAGGATTATGTACATCTAATACAGCTTAGAGTGATCAACAACTGTGATACTAGTTTCTCGCAGTGAGACATCAAGCTAGGGTCTGAATAAACACAGATCCTAACATTTCATTTGACTTGCTGGTACTGTAATGCATTTTCCCCACCCTGTGCCTTATGGGGAATCCTAGGTAGAACCACGTTCTTACCTTATACAAACATTAGGGGTGTCACGATAATCGAAATATCGATATTTTGCTATTAGTAAGCACTTAAGGTCAATAAATCGATTGTTAAATCAGTTTCCGATCAATAGTATCAATTTCAATTCGGAATGTCGACAGTTTCGATTGTATTTACCTTATCAATAAAAGGCATGCAATAATGCTGTTCAAATTTTTTTTCTGTTAATCATGAGTAGTAATTTACTCATGGTAATGTGGAAGTTTCTTTTTTTTTTAATTATTAGGGTAAAGAAAAAACAAATTGTTGTTATGGTTATCACATTTAAAGGAATCTTCAGTTCCAAGGTTTAATTCAACTCTAAAATCCATCTACATGATACACTGAAAACTATCGATATTTATCGCAATAGTTGCTTGCAATATCAATAGTTATTGCAATAGTGATTTCCAGACCAATAGTCACCCCTACCAAATATCAATTGAGATGTGGCAGAACGTTTGAGGACATGAAGTGTAAGTTTAGATCTCTAAACTGGAAGGTAACAAAGTCTCATTGCGGTGAGAAACTGGAAAACCCGGCCCTGTTTCACAAAGCGATCGTAGCACTAAAGACAATCGTAACTCCCATACTTTAACATAAACTTACGACAATCGTAGCGCTACGATCGCTTTATGGAACGGGACCCTGAGTATGCTTTAATGTCTGTTTGTAATGTTGTCATATTGATGTGCTTATTTCAACTGCCTTTGTGAAGTTTGTGAAGCTGACAATGACTTCTGTATTTCAGCTCCGGCAAGGGCATGGGATGTGTTGGTCCAGACCATGAATACTCGTCCTGTGACACAGATGTAAGTGACAGATTTACAACACAGTTGACTTCCATGAATTATTGTGTTTTATTTTTGATTATATTAAAATAATATAATAATTTGATGACCTATTCTTCACAGAGCATTTATATATATGAGTCCGGGGGTTCAATCCCCGGCCGCGTCATAAGACGTTAAAAGATGGTACTTGTTGTTACCCTGTCTGGCGCTCGGCATTAAAGGGCTAAAACAAGGACTGGTCGGCTCAGAGTCAGTATACTGTGTTTGAGTGGGGTATTCATGTTAAACTGCGGCATGGTATCTCAGTGTGCTAGCACTATAAATCGGCACCAGTCCGGACTAGTAAAAGCAGCCACACACACACACACACACGTGCATGCACGTGGCTATATAAGTGCAATAAATCTTGGACGCGACGTTAAACCCCATTTCACCTCACCTATATATATGAAAAGCAGCTTTTAATTATTGTGTTGCTTTCGACATCACATCGTGTAATTGAAGCAGTCATAAAATATCGCCTCTTGTCCAAAAGAAATTATAATTTGATGAATTTTTCTCACTGGGGAAGTGATGTGTGAAGCAGTTGTAAAATATACCAGTGCAAACACTCTTTAACCTGTTAATGACTACAACCTTATTTCATTTAAAATAGTTCTCTTTGTTTCATTGTCTAGTGTTTTATACATAGGAGTAGTAAAATCAACCTATACTGAACCTTGTCAATGTTTGCAAATTTAAAGTGTATCTGTCTTTCCTCAGCCTTGTCCCCGGGATTCTGAAGACTTTCGTAGCATGCAGTGTGCCCAGTTTAACCATCTTCCGATGATCCTGAATGGCCAGGCTAAGACATATGATTGGGTGCCACACTTTGGTAAGAACAGCAGCTTCGATATGTGCCATTTGCAAGAATATGATTATAATTAATAAAACTGAGATCTTTAAAAAATGCAGTTTAAATTATATAATATATATCTATGTGATTCTTTAACTTCAAAATCTTGTGTTAACAGACACACATATGCTGTTTCTTTCTTTATCATGACATCAATAGAAGAAAGAGACTGGTCATGTTTTATTTTTTTTGTGAGTGTGTGTGTGGGGGCTGGGGGTGGGGGGCAAGTGGAATTGGTCTTGAAACATATTTAGCTGCCCCCCCCTCCCCCACCCACCTTCCCCAATGTATGTAAACATTTTTTCATGACCAGCCCCAACCAACCCTCCCTATAAAAAATGACCGGTCCCTAACCGGGTTGTTTTTCAGCCTTGGGACCAACAATGTTCACAGGTCCTTACAGTGTTGTCGCTACCCCTAGTGTACAGTACATTCACCCTGTGCACTCAAAAGAACCCATTCGTCCGATGGTAGGTGACCAGATGGTGGACACACGAATACGTACATGCACCTGAAACACAAGTGACAAAACTTGTTGTGTCATCCTGGGCAAGTGACTTAATTCAAATGTGCCTCTGTTCACCCACCCGGGAATGGGTACCCGTTATGTGAGCTGGATGTAAAAACCTTTTAGCACCCCTAGGCAGCTTGGGTTGTATACTCCCCAGGAAGTTGAGAATGATAACTGGAATGCAAATGGATCCACTGGTCGGGGAAGAAATAAAACCGCATTTGAGCAGATACTAGTACCTTGATACCTGTGGTATATAAATGTATAATATAATAATAATAAAAAAATAAATAATGTTCAAATTTCTAAAAAAAAATGAAAAAATAGGACTGTGTCATTTCATCAATGGTAGAATGTTACCTATCAATCAATGATTTCAATACTTGAGTTTAATACATCACACATACTGGTGTGATGGTATCTGAATAGATTTGCCGTTATTGAGTTTATTCCCTTCAGACGAGAAGAACCGATGTGCTCTGAAGTGTCATGCATTGGGCACTGCGGTGGTGCGGGAACTGGAGGAGATGGTGACGGACGGAACCCAGTGTGACAGCCCGGAACATTTCGGCATCTGCGTCGGGGGAGTTTGCCAGGTGAGCTTCCACTGATCACACCATCTTGGAAAGTCAGTTCTGTATATCAGTCATTGTGTGAGTGAGCATGGTTTTACGCCACTTTTCACAATATTCCAGTAAAATGATGGCGGGAGACATCAGAAATGGACTTCACACATTGTACCCATGTGGAAAATAAAACCCGGGCCTTTGGCACGTTAACGCTGTAACTCAGTTAGGTGAGGTGAGGTGAAATTGGGATTAACGTCGCATCCAAGATTATTGCACTTATATAGCGACGTGCATGTACGTGTGTGTGTTTGTGTGGCTGCGTGTACTAGTCCGGAATGATGCCGATTTATAGTGCTAGCCCACTGAGATACCATGCCGCAGTTTAACATGAATACCCCACTCAGACACAGTATACCGACTCCGAGCCGACCAGTCCTTGTTTTAGCCCCTTCATGCCAAGCGCCAGACAGGGTAACAACAAGTACCATCTTTTGATGTCTTTTGGTATGATGCGGCCGGGGATAGAACCCCGGACCTTCCGCTCTCCGGGCGGATGCTCTACCACTAGACTACGGAGACGGTTTCGCCAGTCAGTGAGCACTGGGATATAATGCTATGGTGAAATATGGTATGCGGCTGGTATTTCAACAAAAAGGTGATATGCCGGTACTCTTTGCATGAAAATGAATTATTTTTACTCAGTAAACAGTTATTTTGAAACACAAGAGCAATAACCTTTTTGCTCTGTGCCCTGATCCTATGACTGACAGATGATCGATCTATGATTGATTCATCTCCATCGACTGATCCTGGCTGAGGCATTTTGAACCAAAGAGCTACACACCCTTGTGCTCTGTGCCTTAATCCTGTCACTGATAGATCTTCTGTCCTGTCATGACTACCGTAGTCGACATAATAAGCGCCCCGCTCTAATAAGCGCCCACGGCAATATTTGCGAATATTTTGGCTAATGAACAATCCCAATTAGCACCCCTTCCGATTGATCAATGTACACAAGACTTATTTATTCGCGTATAATACGCACTCGTGTGTTATATGCACCCTTAATTATGGGCAATTAAATTCTGGAATGATATATCTCTCGTATATAAACATTTCAGGCTGTCAGCATAAACCACAAAATTTATGTTTGAACTCTTTTCTTTTTTTTCACCAAAATAATATTCTAATAAGAGCCCACTATTTCTAATTTTGAGAGTGCCCTGGGCGCTTATTTCGTTGAATACGGTATATGACTAGGGTTATACTGACCTGTGCTACGTGTGTGGCAGACTGTTGGGTGTGACCGTGTGATTGGCTCGGTGATGGAGGAGGACCGGTGCCGTGTGTGCGGAGGGGACGGCAGTGCGTGTCTCACAGAGAAAGGGGCCTTCACGCAGGATAATCTAAATGTAGGTAAGATCAACCAGCAACACATTGCACCATTCCTCTTTTCGCTGTATTAATGTTATAAAGAATATAAAACAACTTCATTTCCTGCCATTTAAATTAAATTAAATGGTTCCAGTAGAAACTTCTCTTCAATAAAATGCAGGTCTTCAGAACCATTCAATCTGTTGAAGTGGGGAAACTATCTTTAATTACCTGAAAAACAGTTTCAAATATCTCTTTTTCTCTCATGATTTGTCATAATTCATTCTGTTTTGAAGTTTTTAAGATACATTTTCAACAGGTTAGAATTATGGTATTTTAAATAATTTATTTATATTGATAGTGACAGTAATGAGGTGGGGTTTTATTTTATTTTTTCTTCGACGGAATGAAAAAAAGCTTCTTTTCAGAGGATTCATAAATAAAATTTTATTAAAAGTCTCGCTTCCGCATAAGTTAGTCTAAACCCCAAAGAGGCATTCTTGTTAACTACTTTGAAGACCACTGAAATTGCTTTTGTGCTGACAGATATCAAACCATTTAGATAAAAATTGTTACTTTTCGTTTGAAAAATGATATATTTTTTCAAGCAACTAAATGCACGTATATTTCAGGCTACCACGAGGTTCTCACTATACCAGAGGGTTCCACAAGCATCACCATCAGAGAGATGAAGCCAAGTCACTCCTATCTAGGTAGCTACATGTCACGGGACCTGTCAAGATCCGGAGTAGAATAGGTCTTCAGCAACCCATGCTTGCCCTAAAAGGCGACTAGGCTTGTCGTAAGAGGCAACTAACATGATCAGGTGGGCAGGCTCGCTGACTTGGTTGATACATGTCATTGATCCCATTTGCGTGGATCGATGCACAATAGATTGTCTGGTCCAGACTCAGTTATTTACAGACTGCCATAATATAGTTGGAATATTGCTGAGTGTGGCGTTAAACAACAAACAAACAAACAAACAAACAAACAAACAAACAAACAAAAAACATGTCACGGAACATCACAGATTAAGTGAAACATTGGTTCATGCACAATTTACAGTACAAGGTTACTAGGTGATATCTTTAGCAGAGAGTGTTGTGTTGGAGAGTGTCACGCTCAAGGGGTTCAACCCCCCACAGGATCATTTTCCTTGGAATTTGTCAGACTCTGTAGAAACTGCAGTAGTAGTTTCAGATATTAGCATAACTTGGGCCACGGAAGGCTTATTTGCTTCCAAGGAGAATCTGTACTTGTCTGCAGAGTTGTCTCCCTTGATGTGTTTTCACTATGCGAGTTCTTAACTTCTTAGATGTGCACCTGGTTTCAACACAGTGCCAAAGCCAGCCAGCCGGGTGGGGTGGGGTGGGTGGTGGTTGGGGTGGGGTGGGGTGGTGGTTGGGGTGGGGGGGTGGGGGGTCAGAAAGTTAACTTGAATATAAAATGAATAATCTTATTTGCCCCCCCTGTCGAAAAAAGTTAACTACGGCCTTGCAACATATGTATTTCTCATTTAAATGTGAATAAACATTTAGCTTATATGTAATAGTCTACTAAATGTTGCTCTTTACCTGACTGTAGAATTGAAACTGCTAAATCCAAAAGCCTTAGCATCATTCTCAAAATAATGATAGAAAAAGAACTGGAATGTGGCTTTGTGTATGTTACTGTTGAGTTCATGGTTTATAATAGTAATCCACTTGCTCCAGGTCTGAAGAATGCGAGAGGAATGTATTACATCAATGGTGGCCGAGACCGGACGTCCCAGAAAGCTATTGCAGGGACAATCTTCCAGTACTACAGCGCTGAGAATAAGGATGACAAAGTCGAGTCTATCCTTTCTAGAGGGCCTACAAATGAAACTCTTATTGTCATGGTAAGTTGTATGCTAGTCTATTACGTCACATTTCTAAACTAGCTGAAGTATTGTAATGTGTGCTATGGCTGGGACGGGTAACTCGGGTACCCGGGTCGGGTGGGTACTGAGTAGGACCTGGGTACCCACAGGACTACCCGGACCCGTGGTTAGTCACTTGATATATTGTTTCATGACAAAAATTATCTAGAACTGTATGGTTACACTACAAGTCACTAATGTTCACATTTCTTTTTGACTATGCACCCATTCCTTCTGATTTTTTAAATGGTTGAATAAAGATATAACTTAATTCAACTTCAGTGTATGAATGACCAGATTGTTTAATACATTTATCTAAATACGTTTTGCCAGGGCTATGCTAAAAATGTTCCCAATCGGACATTTTGAGACATCTCCTACAGTGGGTACCCGGGTAGGGTCGGGAAAAAGGGTGGTGTGGGTACCCGAGTAGGGTCAGGTAATAGGGGGGTGGGTACTCCGGTAGTAAATTTGGACTCGTCCCAGCCCTAATATGTGCTATGTCTGGCTGTCTTCTTCTCCAGCTTGTAGCAAGAGATGGAAACCCAGGCGTAAGGTTTGAATACTCCAGTCCGCAGTCTCTGGTGGACAAGGCCAACCCAACAGACAGGTTCACGTGGGTGTACGGGCAATGGACAGGGTGCTCCGCAGAGTGTGGCACAGGTAGGTTGGTGCTGTTCCCCTTCTAACAGACCCCGGGGCACAGGTGGCCCAGTCGTCTAAGGTGCCGCTATTCGCTGTGCAGAGTTGCGTCCCTACGCACGCCAGAAACCTATGATATTTGGTTCAAATCCCAGTTCGCCTTGATTATGTTTATGTTTTGTCAGCACCATACCCGTGCTCTTGGGTTTCACCGAAGTGGTAAACATATGAGACCTGCATCCCTTCGGGCTTTCCTCCCACATTAAGCTGACACACCGCGATATAACTGTAATACTGTTAAAAGCGGTGTTAAACCCAACTCACTCACTCATACAGACCCTGTAACAAATATATCTGATAAAGCCCATGCCAGTCTTTATGTCTAGCAAGTCTAGATTACTGCAGTATAACGAAGAAAGTCTCCAGGCTCCTTTTTATAATATTTTATAACTATAATTTAACAGCTGTTTTTTTCTGTTAAATATGTTGATTTCAGAGACTAGATGTTAGTCTTCCTTTCTTAGGGACTTAGGGACTGGTTATTTTCTGTAAGGGGTGTGGGAGCTTGTGAGATTAATGGGGAGGTCATGAAAAATGACAAAGCCAAAAAGAGGCAAAATTTATTTATGACATCAAATATAAAGAATGGTCAATTATTATAGGTCGTGGGGATATGAAAAAATGTTACTTTTGCATTTGGGGCGTGAGAAAATGTTGTATGGACTGGGTTGGTAGGGGTGGGGGTCAATCCCACCAACCCTACAATGAATGACCAGGTCAGATCAAATCGATGCTCATGATGTCAATCACTGGATTGTCTGGTCCAGACTCGATTCTTTTACAGACCCCCGTCATATAGCTGGAATATTTCTGAGTTCGGCGTTAAACAACAAACAAACAAACAAACAAACAAACAAAACAGCTCAAATCTGCCAAACACAGCATTGTAGGTTCACTGAAACTCTCAGCACAGAACCGGAGAAATTTGGAAACATTACATATTTGGGAAAGACCTTTGTAGGATCTTTAAAAGTAAATGTATCTCTGTCTTTGTCTTTGATGAAGATTGGGATGCCTGTTCCAGGATATCAACTCCGAGCTGTGTCGTGCATGGATCGGCAGTCCGGGGGGACTGTCAACATGAGGTCATGTGATCTACTGGAGCGACCTCGCGCTAACCAAACCTGCAACATGGGGTCGTGTGCCGAAGACAGGACGAACGGATACAGGTGATTGCAGAAACTTCAATATAATATCAGTTGTATTAAATAGGATGTAGGTATTGTATATGACTACACTCTCGTAGGCTCCTTTTGGTAGTCACTCAGGAGATATTTCAGGTAACTGATTTACCTTAACGCAGGCAACCACGTGCACGGTGATGGCGAAATGGTTATGACAGACATCATAAGAGACTGCAAATGTTTTGCCGATTTTTCGCTTTGTACGAAACGAGCTTAATGCTAAGGTGATCGTAAGTCCCATACCTTAGCATAGACTTACGACAGTCGTAGCACTAATGTTGTTTTATGCACCCTGGGAATTAGCTGGAAATGTGGCGAGTCAGCGTTGCGAGTAAGGTCCGTTCAGATGTATTTCATAGGTCCAAAACATGCTTACTGAGATCGTTCTCTTATACATAAACCATGTTGAGTTGGTCCTGAGATGAATTATATCATAATATTAAAGAAAATAAACCCTGTTTAGACAAGAATTTGTTCTGCTGAAAGGTTCATGGTATTGAGGTGGTCACAGGTGGCCCAGTCGTCTAAGTTGCTGCAATTCACTGAACAGAGTTGTGTTGTTTGGGCATACCAGAAATCTAAGATTGTGGGTTCGAATCCCGGTTCGACCCGATTATCTTTCTAGGTTTGTCAGCACCATACCCGTGCTCGTGGGTTTCACCGAAGTGGTAAACGTCTGAGACCTGCATCACTTTGGGCTTTCTTCCCACATTAAGCTGACACGCCGTGATATAACTGGAATACTGTTCCAAGCGGCATTAAACACAACTCACTCACTCACTCACTCACTCACTCACTCACTCACTCACTCACTCACTCACTCACTCACTCACTCACTCACTCACTCACTCACTCACTCACTCATGGTCTTGAGCTGGCAGCCTTCATAGTTTCATTTGACACAAACACTCTCTGTTGACACTTCTGTATAAGGATCTATTAAGCAACTCGTCAGTCTTTGTTTCTCTCTTTCTGATGTTTGTTGACAGTTTCAGTGACTGTACAGCTGTGTGACTGTACAGCTGTGTGACTGTTGCAGCTGTGTGAGTGTACAGCTGTGTGAGTGTACAGCTGTGTGACTGTTACAGCTGTGTGACTGTACAGCTGTGTGACTGTACAGCTGTGTGTCTGTTTCAGCTGGGTGTTGGGCCACTGGGACGAGTGCTCCGTCAGCTGTGGTGTGGGGGAGCAGACCCAGCTCGCCTACTGTCAGGAGAAGGGCACCATGGGACAAACAATCTTCGTGTCTGATGACATCTGTCTGAGATACCTCGGGGAGAAGCCGGAGTACAAGCGTGTGTGTGAAGGAGAGAGTGGATGTCCAAGATGGGCCACTGGTGCATGGAATGAGGTGAGATCATCACTAGGTTATATGCTACTCAACATGTGCTAAGGGCCACAATAGTCATCAGTCAAGTGTGTGGTCCTTAGCAAATGTTGAGTAGTGTATTATATTTGCTTGTTGTTTAACACCACACCAATCAATACTCCCTCAATCTCAATAAAATCAGATCTTAGTTCTCGCTACTGCTAAAAACAGATCTGAGGACATCCCATTACGGGTCACGTCAGACCGACCTTTCGCGAACTTTGACCGACCAGTGGATTGACTGACAAGAAGTTGACATTAGCCAATCAGAAGGCAGCTTTCTCATGCTTTACGGCACTAGTTTCAAACTGGTGACTACACTTCGAAATATATTTTGACAAATTCTCAATGAAAACATTGAAAACTGAATAAAGGAATATACTGGCCTAGATTGTATGGATTCAGTCCTAAAGACCGTAACTGTTGTTTGGAATACCCGATCTGTTAAGCGACGCTCTGATTGGTCAGATGAAAGGTCGTTCTGACATGACCTGTAATGGGATGTCCTCAGATCTTTGTTTGGCGATAGCGATACCGAAGATTGATACTCACGTTTTATAATACTCCTTGATAATATAGGGATTGATATTATCAGTGTCACAGGTCATCAGTGTACGATGACCTAGAATCAACCTAGTAACGGAGCCTGATGCATTTATTCCCCACTTAGAGTAAGCATTTGCCGTGTTCATATCCTATTCTAATATCTATTTATAACCATATATATATGTTATCAATATTTCTGTGTTTTGTTCCAGTGTGGTGTGACCTGCGGCTATGGATACCAGACACGGCGTGTGTATTGTCAGAGAGACTCCGATGGGGAGGACCCAACCACAGTGCCAAACTGGGAGTGCAAACTCGCCGACAAGCCGAAGGACAGGAAACGGTGTTTGCTGAGTTCATGTCACGGCGGCAGGGATGGTACACTGAAGGAATTGGAGGTGAGTCAGACACAGTGCCAGTCAGACCTTTGTGGTCATCAGGCTTAGGGTTGGTGAGGGGACACAAAGTGCCAGTCAGACCTTTGTGGTCATCAGGCTTAGGGTTTGTGAGGGGACACACAGTGCCAGTCAGACCTTTGTGGTCATCAGGCTTAGGGTTTGTGAGTGGACACACCGTGCCAGTCAGACCTTTGTGGTCATCAGGCTTATGGTTTGTGAGGTGACACACAGTGCTAGTCAGACCTTTGTGGTCATCAGGCTTAGGGTTTGTGAGGTGACACACAGTGCCAGTCAGACCTTTGTGGTCATCTGGCTTAGGGTTGGTGAGGGGACAAAGTGTCAATCAGACCTTTGTGGTCATCAGGCTTAGGGTTTGTGAGGGGACACACAGTGCCAGTCAGACCTTTGTGGTCATCTGGCTTAGGGTTGGTGAGGGGACACACAGTGCCAGTCAGACCTTTGTGGTCATCAGGCTTAGGGTTTGTGAGGGGACACACAGTGCCAGTCAGACCTTTGTGGTCATCTGGCTTAGGGTTTGTGAGGGGACACACCGTGCCAGTCAGACCTTTGTGGTCATCAGGCTTAGGGTTTGTGAGGGGACACACCGTGCCAGTCAGACCTTGGTGGTCAACAGGTAGACTAACATCTAGTCTCTGAAATGCACATATCTTACTGAAAAAACAGTTGTTAAATTATCTTAATAACGATATAATAAAAAGGAGCCCAGAGACTTTTTCATTTTCAGATACTGCTGCAATCTAGAGTTGCCAAACATTATAGACTTGCATCAGATCCCACACGACATCACTGTTATAGATAGCCACTGATAGAAGCAGCTGTAAAATATCTACTATCTGTCAGTTGTGATGACACATGAATGATCATTGTGTGTCTGTGCCTGCCTGCAGGAGGGGTGTACTATAGTGCTGTATAACATGGAGGGATGTACTATAGTGCTGTATAACATGGAGGGCTGTACCAAAGTGCTGTATGACATGGCGGGATGTACTATAGTGCTGTATGACATAGAGGGATGTACTATAGTGCCATATGACATTGAGGGATGTACTATAGTGCTATATAACCTGGAGGGATGTACTATAGTGCTGTATAACCTGGAGGGATGCACTATAGTGCTGTATCACATAGAAAGACGTACTGTAGTACTGTATGACATGGAGGGATGTACTATAGTGCTGTATGACATGGAGGGATGTACTATAGTGCTGTATGACATGGAGGGATGTACTAAAGTGCTGTATCACATTGAAGGACGTACTATTGTGCTGTATCACATGGAGGGATGTACTCTAGTGCTGTATCACATAGAGGGATGTACTATAGTGCTGTATGACATAGAGGGATGTACTATAGTGCTGTATGACATGGAGGGATGTACTATAGTGCTGTATGACATGGGGGGATGTACTATAGTGCTGTATGACATGGAGGGATGAACTATAGTGCTGTATGACATGGAGGGCTGTACTATATTGCTGTATGACATGGAGGGCTGTACTATAGTGCTATATCACATTGAGGGATGTACTATAGTGCTGTATCCCATGGAGGGATGTACTATAGTGCTGTATCACATGGAGGGCTGTACTCTAGTGCTGTATTACATGGAGGGCTGTACTATAGTGTTGTATGACATGGAGGGATGTACTCTAGTGCTGTATCACATGGAGGGATGTACCATAGTGCTGTATCACATGGAGGGATGTACTATAGTGCTGTATCACATAGAGGGATGTACTTTAGTGCTGTATCTCATGGAGGGATATACTATAGTGCTGTATCACATAGAGGGCCGTACTTTAGTGCTGTATCACATGGAGGGCTGTACTATAGTGCTGTTTCACATGGAGGGGTGTACTATAGTGCTGTATGACATGGAGGGATGTACTCTAGTGCTGTATCACATGGAGGGATGTACCACAGTGCTGTATCACATGGAGGGATGTACTATAGTGCTGTATCATATAGAGGGATGTACTTTAGTGCTGTATCACATGGAGGGATGTACTATAGTGTTGTATCACATAGAGGGATGTACTTTAGTGCTGTATCACATGGAGGGATGTACTATAGTGCTGTATCACATGGAGGGATGTACTTTGGTGCTGTATGACATAGAGGGCTGTACTCTAGTGCTATATCACATGGAGGGATGTACTATAGTGCTGTATGACATGGAGGGATGTACTATAGTGCTGTATGACATGGAGGGATGTACTCTAGTGCTGTATCACATGGAGGGATGTACCATAGTGCTGTATGACATGGAGGGATGTACTATAGTGCTGTATCACATAGAGGGCTGTACTTTAGTGCTGTATGACATGGAGGGATGTACTATAGTGCTCTATGACATGGAGGGGTGTACTATAGTGCTGTATGACATGGAGGGGTGTACTAGAGTGTTGTATGACATGGAGGGATGTACTCTAGTGCTATATCACATTGAGGGATGTACTATAGTGCTGTATCCCATGGAGGGATGTACTATAGTGCTGTATCCCATGGAGGGATGTACTATAGTGCTGTATCACATAGAGGGATGTACTATAGTGCTGTATCACATAGAGGGCTGTACTTTAGTGCTGTATCACATGGAGGGGTGTACTATAGTGCTGTATGACATGGAGGGGTGTACTAGAGTGTTGTATGACATGGAGGGATGTACTCTAGTGCTATATCACATTGAGGGATGTACTATAGTGCTGTATCCCATGGAGGGATGTACTATAGTGCTGTATCACATGGAGGGATGTACTATAGTGCTGTATCACATAGAGGGCTGTACTTTAGTGCTGTATCACATGGAGGGATGTACTATAGTGCTGTATGACATGGAGGGGTGTACTATAGTGCTGTATGACATGGAGGGGTGTACTAGAGTGTTGTATGACATGGAGGGATGTACTCTAGTGCTATATCACATTGAGGGATGTACTATAGTGCTGTATCCCATGGAGGGATGTACTATAGTGCTGTATCACATAGAGGGATGTACTATAGTGTTGTATCACATGGAGGGCTGTACTTTAGTGCTGTATCACATGGAGGGGTGTACTATAGTGCTGTATCACATGGAGGGATGTACTATAGTGCTGTATCACATAGAGGGCTGTACTTTAGTGCTGTATCACATGGTGGGATGTACTATAGTGCTGTATGACATGGAGGGATGTACTATAGTGCTGTATGACATGGAGGGGTGTACTATAGTGCTGTTTCACATGGAGGGGTGTACTATAGTGCTGTATGACATGGAGGGGTGTACTAGAGTGTTGTATGACATGGAGGGATGTACTCTAGTGCTGTATCACATGGAGGGATGTACCATAGTGCTGTATCACATGGAGGGATGTACTATAGTGCTGTATCACATGGAGGGCTGTACTATAGTGCTGTATCACATGGAGGGCTGTACTATAGTGCTGTATGACATGGAGGGCTGTACTATAGTGCTATATCACATGGAGGGATGTACTATAGTGCTGTATCACATGGAGGGATGTACTATAGTGCTGTATCACATGGAGGATGTACTCTAGTGCTGTATCACATGGAGGGCTGTACTATAGTGCTGTATCACATGGAGGGTGTACTATAGTGCTGTGGTTATAACATAGCACACCAACATAGACCAGACTTAAGCACTGCATACATGTGGCAGTCATTAAGTATGGAATCACCCTCACAGGAGGAAGTAATTCCACCATCTAATTATGACATCTTACAACATACCCACTTTTTTATAAACTGCTAGATTTGTTTTTATTCAAAGTGAATTAACACATGACAACATGACTTATACTTGGGACCTTTTTCCAAAGATGTATCTGCTCAATGCTGACAAAGACCACTGTTCCCAGCATGTACTAAATCTACTAAGTCTGAGTCTGGTTGTGGCCCAGAATACTTTGCTGGGACTGTGTAGTCTCCTTCTCGACATTACCTGTACTTTATTAGCCATGTGATATTTGCCTTCCTCCCTTATTGCAGTGTCTGCTCCAACACAGGGGCATAATGCAGCTTTTAGTGAACAGGGAGAACTAAATGGGTGGTGGTAGATTACAAGTCCTTTCTCAACTGTAGTAAGACATTGGGAGTATTTGGTGGAAGGAGGTACCGTCATTGTCTGGGCGTGGGATATTAGTGTGTTCGATCAGATTGTTGATGATTGTTTTTATTGGAGGGAATAATGTAGGAAGGAGTCTCTGATTAACTCCTGCTTCACATTTTGCCTTGGTTAGGGCAACCTAACCCCAACCCTTACCCAGCGTAAATAATTTTTTTATGCTTCTTGCCAGGATTATGATTTTTATCACCTCAGCATATAATGCAAGGGGATATAGTCATCATCTGGTCTGTCTGTCCATCCATCCATATTTTTCATTTCCGGAGCATAATTTGAAAACCGATTAAGATTTTTCATCCAAACTTAGTACATGTATCAGGCTAAAACAAAAGATAGCCTTGGTTCTCAGACACCACCACATCATCATAAAGTTCACTGCACATTTCGTTTTTATTTCCATTTTAAAACAAAACAAAACCCAAAACAATCCTTAAATATTCCAAGTCCAACTGTATATGTTGGGAGGCCCTTTCCCAGGTTGATTGTACACAATTGTTTATTGATTACACAACTGTTTATTGGTTACATACTAGTTTGAACAACACAAAAAATAAAAGACACCGCCTGCCCGCACTATATTTTCAAAAACCTTACCTGCCTTTTGCTATTGTAGGGGTCAGGGGGATTTGTCATCTCCTGATGACTCTTGTGTTAGATTTCAAGGCAGGAGTTACAGGCGGAAGTTTTACCGCAATGTAGGCCCACAAGAACAATAAAGAAAGGAATAAACTTCAGTTTCAATTTGAGATTTTCATGACCCCTATTTTGCTTCAGTGTTCTCCCGAGTTATGTGATACTGGACTCTTGGTTAATCTTTGGCGCGATGCTAACACAGCAGTATAGAGACGCT